TGGAGTCCTCCCTCACGGGGCACAGGTGGAGTCCTCCCTCACAGGGACAGGTGGAGTCCTCCCTCACAGGACAGGCTGGAGTCCTCCCTCACGGGGCACAGGGCTGGAGTCCTCCCTCACGGGGCACAGGTGGAGTCCTCCCTCACAGGGACAGGTGGAGTCCTCCCTCACGGGGCACAGGGCTAGAGTCCTCCCTCACGGGGCACAGGGCTGGAGTCCTCCCTCACGGGGCACAGGGCTGGAGTCCTCCCTCACAGGACAGGCCTCTCAGCCAGTAGCACAGTACTCACCGTGGGTGACTGTGGGTTCTTAAATGCGACCTTGAACCTGGCCTCCACCTCGCCCGGGATGGCTGGGGTGAAGATGATGGGCACTCTGATGGAGCTGAATGGGCCGATTTCCCCCTCGGTCAACTGCACAGTGGGGGCAGAGCCATGGCTTAGCAGGTGGCATCATGCTGACCGCCAGGACAGCCACTTTGCAGCAAGGGTTGGTCCCTGGCTGGGCCTGGTCACACACAAGCCCTGGCCCCGAGGCCTGCTGGGGTCCGGTCAGGGACGGCCCACTGCCAGCTGCACCCAGGAAACTGTCCTGTTCTGAGTCTGCCCAGCTCCCCTGGGGAAGGGGCTGCTAGGGTGCTGGCTGGGGTCTGCCTGGGTCTAGCCCATCAGAGGGAGGGCCAGTGGACAAGGAGGGGCAGCGGGGCAGGCGCGGGCACTGGGCCGACCTCCCCCAGCGTGATCTCCATCTGCTCCTCATTCGGACCAGCACCGTTGGCCACAGGAGTCACCTCAGCTTCTGGAAGACAAAATGAGATACTAGAAATAAATCCAAATAGTCTGCCTGACTGCATAACAAAGGCGACGGTGGAAGGCCATGAGCTGAACGGGGCACTGCTGAGAGGGGCGAGGTGCTTTGGATGCCCAGATTGGGGGGAGACTTGACAGGTCAGCATGTCGACTCTCCAAAGCTACATAGTCACACTCACACAGGCTTTCCTTCCCCCGGAAATCAAGCAGCAGCTTCTAAAGTGTATATGGAAGTGTGTAGCCTACCACAGGCGAGATGGTGGCATAAGGATTGACAGGGGATGAAGTGACCAGAAGAGGATGCCCAGAGATCAGGTGACCGAGGCCCTGCCAGTAATCCTGGCCACTCAGGAGGTGGGGAGTAGAAAAACTGCAGTTTCAGTCTAGCCCTCGCAAATACGTTTGTGGGAGCCTATCTCAGAAATAACCAGGGTGCCGGGCACCAGTGGCTCACACCTGTAATCCTAGCTACTCAGGAAGCTGAGATCTGAGGATCTCAGTTCAAAGTCAGCCGGACAGCAAAGTCCGTAAGACTCTTACTTCCAATAAACCACTCAGGAAACTGGAAGTGGCACTGTGGTTCATGTGGTAGAGCCCTAGCCTTGAGCTGAAGAGCTGAGGGACAGCGCCCAGGCCCCGAGTTCAAGCCCCATGACTGACCAAAAAAAAAAGTCTCACAGACTTCCCTGGCCAGCCTGGCTTTGAACTGTGATCCTCAGCTCTCAGTCTCCTGAGTAGCTAGGATTACAGGCCTGAGCCACCAGCGCTGCCGGGCTGTTGGTTTTCTTTACAGTGTTATTTTCCAGTCCTGGGGACTGAATGCAGGGCCTTGCGCATGCTCAGCAAGCCCGTGCCGTTTCAGGAAGAATGCACACGTCAACCCACCCCATGCTCCACACACACGAGTGTTTTACTATCATATGAAGCTGAAGCCTGGAGAAGGCTCCCAGAAGCCCTGCCCAGCTCTGCTGCGGACTCCTGGTTCTCCAGAGGTGGCAGGGTGAGGAGTCCAGGGGGTGCAGGGCATGCCTGAGGCTGTCCTGCCCATACCAGTGCTCTGACCCAGTCCAGCACCCTGCTGTGCCAAACTCCCCTGCTGCTGCTCGGAATCAAGGCAGGAGGGGCTTTGGGGGTGCGCCGTGTCTGCCCTCCGGCTGCCTGGGCCCTCACCATCTTGCTTCTCCGGGTCCCACCGGCTCGGAAGGTCTGCCATGGACTCAAAGCCCTCAAAGGGTGTCTCAGAGAAACTGGTGATAACCTTCTCGTAGATGCTTTTGTCCTCGAAGGTGAAGAGGCTGCTCTGAAAGGGAACCCGGCATTCTCACTGCCTTCCCCTGGCCCGGAGGCCATCACAGCTGTGTCTGGCCAGGCTTCTGGTCCCTGCACCTTTCCTCCAGTCTTGCTCTGCCCCTTTGCCTCTGAGTCTGGATCTCACTGGCTCCTCCTCAGCCCCAGCGAGGTGGACCCAACCCGGCACCTTCCTGCTCACCCCTCATCTGCCCTTTCCCTACTACCCTCAGCCGTGGGGCCACACACGTCAGCGCCATGTGTCCTCCCCTGGGGTTTTTTCTGGCTGCCACATGACTGAGGGCCAGAGCCCTGGCTTCTCATGGCTTGTGAGTGGAGTCCACACCCTCCCCCAATTCACTGGAAGGCAGAGGCCTTACTCTGAGGGGCTCTACTAGGCTGCAACCAGGCACCCCCGGCCCTGCACAGCCCTTCCTGGGAGTGACATCAAGTCCCTGACTGCTTTGGTGTCACTGCAGGTCTGGCCAGGGCAGGGCAGGCTGCAGCGTCTCCCAGACTCTTAGCCTCTTAGGCTCCTGGGGTTCCCATGTTTCCCCCACACCGTCACATACCTGAGAAGGGACAATGCCGTGATCCACCGTTCCAGAGGCCATGGACCTCGATGTCCCCCTCATGTTCTCCAGTCTCTTCTGCTCCTCCTGTGGGGTAGTCAGCACCCTCGTAGCCCACTTCACGTGTGGGACCCCGACTCGGTGCCCTGCCCTCACCAGGCAGAGACATGGGGCCCAGCTGACCCTGGGCCTAGGCAGCCACAGCATTGGGCAACGGCCCGCAGTGGCCTACTTACCATTTTCAGGATGGCCTCATAGTCCTCTGTGCCATAGTTCTCAGATGCCATGAGGAACTTGAACTTGGTGCCCAGGCCCCCAGTGTTGGTCAGCGTGATGGTCTGGGTTGTGGTCTCCCCCACAGTGTAGCTGCCAAAGTCGATGAGCTCTCTGTCGAGAGACAGCTGCCAAAGGACGCCAGTGAGCCAGGGTGGCGGCTGCTGGCCAGCACGGCGGCCAGCGCAGGAGAGCCAGCCAGTCCTCGCAGGTGCTGTGGCTCAGAGCCCCACGCCCTGCTTTCACCTGCAGCCTGGAGACCCCCCAGGGAAGCTGGTCTCTCCTCCGCATGGGTGAGGCTCCAGGCAGGGTGGACAAGGTTCTGGGTGAGCCACACACTGCATAGGCAGGGATGGACTCATGTTCAAGTCCCAGTCCCAGCACACACACACACACATGCACACGGACGCACACGCACACACGTGTCTGTCTGTCAGGTCAGAGCTGTGCTTGGATGGAGCCTGGGTACTTTTAGTTGATTTTTAGTGTGGAGCACCCTCAAATTCTTCATTCCTCTCAACTCCTTGTTCTCTTCCAGCCTCGAGGATCTCCCTCCTCGGTGCGGCAGGCCATGGGCAATGAGTTGTGGGAAGTGTAATGTGTGCTAGTGGATCGAGTCCTGCTGCCGCTGTCGGCCTTGGTGTCTGGGGATCCAGGCATCCTGTGTAGGATCGTAGCTGTGTCCCTGGAGGCCCGAGCCACACCCAGCCGCCCCGGGATGCGCCACGTGCTTGGGTCAGGCAGGCTGTGCCGCGCCAGCCGGCTCACGGGCAAGCATGGGGCCGTGTCCTGAGCCACAGGGCTCTGTGCTTACTGGGACAAGGAGCTCCGGAGGGGCTGAGGGGCTGGGGGTGGGCGGGCAAGGAGGCCAGCATGGCAGGGGTGGTGACTACATATGGTGAATAGAATTTCACCCTGTGATTCTTCCTGCTTTTCATCATGTTTGAAAATTTCTAAATCACACCACCAGTGTCCAGGGCACACCAAAATCTCCACAGAGGGTCCAAGACCTGCGCCTCAAGGAGCTGGCTTGCCCGCAGCTGTCCAGCTCTGGCCTGAGCCTCTCACATGCCCCACTGAGATCCAGGCTGGAGGCTGACCCAAGCTGTCACCAAACCACAGCCTGGGGGGACACTGCCCTCCCCACTGCACCCCAGTTTAGAGCTCCACCCCCTGCACCCCAGTTCAGAGCTCCGCCCCTCTGCACCCCAGTTCAGAGCTCCGCCCCCTGCACCCCAGTTCAGAGCTCTGCCCTCCGCTCTGCACCCCAGTTCAGAGCTCTACCCCCCTGCACCCCAGTTCAGAGCTCCGCCCCGCTGCACCCCAGTTCAGAGCTCCGCCCCCTGCACCCCAGTTCAGAGCTCTGCCCTCCCCCCTGCACCCCAGTTCAGAGTCCGCCCCCCGCACCCCAGTTCAGAGCTCCGCCCCCCGCACCCCAGTTCAGAGCTCTGCCCCCTGTACCCCAGTTCAGAGCTCCACCCCCTGCACCCCAGTTCAGAGCTCCACCCCCCTGCACCCCAGTTCAGAGCTGCACCCCAGTTCAGAGCTCCACCCCCTGCACCCCAGTTCAGAGCTCCACCCCCCTGCACCCCAGTTCAGAGCTGCACCCCAGTTCAGAGCTCCGCCCCCCTGCACCCCAGTTCAGAGCTCCGCTCCCCCTGCACCCCAGTTCAGAGCTCTGCCCTCCCCTCTGCACCCCAGTTCAGAGCTCCACCCCCCCTGCACCCCAGTTCAGAGCTCCGCCCCGCTGCACCCCAGTTCAGAGCTCCGCCCCGCTGCACCCCAGTTCAGAGCTCCGCCCCCCCTGCACCCCAGTTCAGAGCTCTGCCCACCCCCATACCCCAGTTCAGAGCTCCGCCCCCCTCGGCATCCCAGTTCAGAGCTCTGCCCCCCTGCACCCCAGTTCAGAGCTCTGCCCTCCCCCCTGCACCCCAGTTCAGAGCTCCACCCCCTGCACCCCAGTTCAGAGCTCCGCCCCCCTGCACCCCAATTCAGAGCTCCCCACCTGTCTATACCCACGGTCCTGGGTACAAGCTCACTAGGGTTCCTATGAGAAACACCGTGAATACAAATTGGAACTTACGGAACATTTCTTTGTTGAACATTTCAGTGGAATAGAAAAACTGCCTGTCTGAGCCAAAAAGGAGACATTTCCTTCCAGATCTTTATTGATCTAAAAAATAAAAACCAACCACATACACCTATGTGAGATGGACCCAGGTCCATAGGCCACAACTGTATAACCAAGGCCTGGGCCTGAGCCTGGGCCTGCCTGCCCCGAGCTGAGGTCCCTCCCCACCCCAGCCCAGCCCTGGAGGCCCCTCAAGGAGGCCCCAGCTGGGCAGTAGTGAGCATTTGTGCTGCCTGCAGCTTTCCAGGGTACTGTTGGGACAAAACAGCCAAGACAGGGCTGCTGCCCATCCTCTGACTCACCATGGGCTTGAAGGTGACCAGGACCTCGCAGGACATCCCAGCAGACATGGGGCCGGGGGGGTCAAAGCTGCAAGCACAGTGGCATGGGGTTAGGTGAGCCCCGAGTAGCTCTGGGAGGTGGACCCCTTGGGGCCCCCCTCCCCTCGCCCAGGCGCCCTGGCCACAGGCAGCCATGGGGCTGTGTGCTCCCTGCCGCACATACAGCACATGTCCCCACGGGCAGCCATGGGGCTGTGTGCCCCCTGCCGCACATAGAGCACATGTCCCCAGGGGGCAGGAGACCCCATCCCCACCCTGCAGTAACCTTTGGATGTGTCTGGAAAGCAAGGACCATCCAGGAGGTGGGATGCTTGTTTTGAGTGGCCCTGACCCCCAGCCACATTGCCAGGTGCACAGTTGGGGAGGGGCTGACCCTGGGCGAGGAAAGGTCTCTCACATTAGATTTTACCTAATTTGTTGTGTTTATAAGTGTACAAAACAGAAGCTTAATATGAAAACATCTCCTGGTTGGGCACTGGTGGCTCACATCTGTAATCCTAACTAATCAGGAGGCTGAGGTTTAAGGACTGCAGTTCAAAGCCAACCTGGGCAGAGAAGTCTGTGAAACTCATACCTCCAATTAACCACCCAAGCCGGAAGTAGAGCTATGGCTACAGTGGTAGAGTGCTAGCCCTGAACAAAAAAGCTCAGGGACAGCACCCAAGCCTTGAGTTCAAGCCCCAGTAATGGCACAAAACAAGGACAATGAAATTTATCCTTTGCTGGCCACAGCCTTATGTCCCAGACAGCAGGAAATCAGAATTTCTGATAGGGAGAAGGCATTTTGATGGTAGCCACCACAGAACCCAGGGCACAACCATCTGGCAGGAGAGGGGCAGGATTCAGGGTCACCAGTGGGGGCATAAGGTCACCGGCAGGAGACGTGCACACACAAGCAGACAGCGAGCAGCAAGGCTAAGCTGCAGACTATGCTGGGTGGAACAGCTAAGCGGAGCTTTTAGAAAACATGCAATTAAAATGGCTAAAGTCATAAGAATCACAGACGTGCAGCAAGAGCCTGCACTGTCAAGAAATGCCAGCTCATCTGAAAAGAGCTTGGGATGTTCAGAAAAGAGACACACAGAGCCGAAACCAGACACACAGTCAGCAACTTCAACAGCTGATCAGATCCAGCAGAAGAAGCCAGGAGCCTGGAGGACATTCCCAGCAACTGCCAGGTGTCTCAGTGAGGGCTGAGGCATCGCAAAGCTGCTATGATCTGAATGTGTAGCTTGAGAGGCACCACGAAGCTGGACACAGAGGTCTGGGTCTGCAGTCCTACCTATTTGGAAGGCAGAGATTGGGGGATTGTGGTATGAGGCCATCCTGTGCACAAATAAGCCTGTGAGACTTATCTCAAGCCATGGCTAGGTGCAGTGGCACATACCTGCTATTCCAGCTGCAGGGGAGGATGATGGTTGGCTGCAGTTGTATACACCTGCCATCCCCAGCAACACCAGGAAGTACAGATTGGAAGACAGCAGGCCAGACTGGCCCAGGTATAAAGCAAGACCTTACCTTGAAAATAACCAATGAGGGGCTGGGAAGGTGGCTCAGTGGTAGAGTGCTTGCCTTGCATGCATGAGGCCCTGGGTTCGATTCCTCAGCACCACATAAGCAAAAAAAAAAAAAGCTGGAAGTGGTGCTGTGGCTCAAGTGGTAGAGCGCTAGCCTTGAGCTGAAGAGCTGAAGGACAGCGCCCAGGCCCAAAGTTCAGGCCCCATGATTGGAACCAAAAAATAAGAAAATAACCAATGAAAAAAGGACATGGAGGCATGGCTCATGTGGTAGAACATCTACATAACAGGCTCAAGCCCTTGAGCTCAATCCAGTACCACAAAAAAATCCATGGAGGGAGCCGGGCGCTGGTGGCTCACGCCTGTAATCCTAGCTACTCAGGAGGCTGAGATCTGAGGATCGAGGTTCAAAGCCAGCCCGGGTAGGAAAGACCGTGAGACTCCTATCTCCAATAAACCACCAGAAAACCGGAAGTGGCACTGTAGCTCAAGTGGTAGAGCGCTCGCCTTGAGCTGAAGGACAGCGCCCAGGCCCAGAGTTTAAGCCCCACGACCAGACCAAAAAAAAAAAAATCCATGGAGGGGCTGGGGATGTGGCTTAGTGGTAGAGTGCTTGCCTAGCATGCATGAAGCCCTGGGTTCCATTCCTCAGTACCACAAACACAGAAAAAGCTGGAGGAGGCATTGTGGCTCATGTGGTAGAGTGCTGGTCTTGAGCAAAAGAAGCTCAGGCCCTGAGTTCAGGCCCCAGGACTGACTAAAAAAAAAAATCCAGGAATAAATGAATAATGATACCCTCCAGGTGTTGAGGGAAATTCTAATCTTGATCTGGGGAGGGGAGTTGGGTAGCTGATATGAATGAATGTGTATGCATGTGTGTGCATGTGTGTGCGTGCATGCGTATATGTATGTAATGTCTATATGTGCACACACAGGTCTACCCTCCAGGAGCCCGTATGACTCAGCATGACCAGAAGCCAGAGAAAATAAATATCAATTTATAGTAACTCTCTCCACATGGGCCTCTGTGGCCAGCTAGAAGATTCTGGAAAACAGCAGGGAAGAGGGAGGGAAAGAAGACCCTGTGGCTGGCTTCCTTTTAGTTCCCAAGAGAACAGATACTCTGGGACCCCTGCTGGCTGTGCTGCTCATAAGAGGGGTCATCAGGGGCTCAACCCTAGAGCAGCAGCCTCAGGACGACGCTGGCAGGGAGGAAGGGGCCCCTGGACCTGCACACTGGGGGTGTTAGGGTCACACACTAATGGAAGTGAGCGATCTCAGACTAGAAATTTAAAATTGATGCTGGGCCGCCAAACCTTCCTGGGCTGGGTAGTACATGTCTATAGCCCCAGCCCCAGGAGGTGGAGGCAGGAGGGCAAGTTCAAGGAAACCTGAACTACACAGCAATGGAAAAAACTTTCCATGAAGCCTGGCACAGACAAGGAAGGAAGAAACAACAAAGCTTCCTTAAAAGCCATGGCCAAAGCTGGGCACCAGTGGCCCACATCTGTAATTCTAGCTACTCAGGAGGCTGAGGTCTGAGGATTGTGGTTCCAATCTAGCCCAGGCAAGAAAGTCTGTGAGACTCTTATCTCCAATTAACCACCTTAACCACCAGAAAACCGGAAGTGACGCTGTGGCTCAAGTGGTAGAGCGCTTGCCTTGAGCTGAAGAGCTGAGGGACAGCGCCCAGGCCCAGAGTTCAAGCCCCATGACCAAAAAAAAAAAAGTCCAAGGCCAAGTGTGGCACTGAAGAGGCAAGCAGAGGATTAAGTTTGAGGCTGTCTCAAAGGACCAAAAGTAAGCTAAGGCCAGAGGCCGAGACATAAGGGCTAAGAGAGAGCCACAGAAAAGACAAAAGAGGAAGAAGTAGCAGACTTCATGCCAGACACGAAGAGAATACAAAAGACAAGGAAGACAAAGGCAGACGAGGAAGAGAACAAAAAATTGGCGCAGGGAGGAAGACAAAGTTATAGCCCAGTAAGGGATCTCAAACGCATCCCAGTCTGAGCAGACACTAGCTGCCTGGAGCGCCCCTGAGGCCGCCCTCCACGGGGGCAGTGAGCAGGCGGTCTGCATGTCAGACCTGGCCTCCGTGAGTTCAGCTCCAGAATCTCAACTCCTCATGGAAGCTCCACCCGCCCTATGCCCAGGCTCCATGGGACTCGGCCTCACTCGATGTAGATGAAGTCCCGCAGGGTCTCCTCCACACCCACCAGCTTGCAGTAGTTGATGGTGTAGGTGGCGTTTATCAAAGTGATCTTCTTCTTGTACACTTTGCCAACATCGAAGTCCTGCAGGAGATAGAGGCTCGGCAGTGACCCAGGCCCCGGGCTGCAGCCTCAGAGCAGGTTCAGGGAGTGGGCTCCAGGCTGGGGAATGGGCTCCGTGTGGGGGAATGAGTTCCAGGTTGGCTTGTGTGCCCATGCTAACCAGAGAGAGGTCCCCAGGTACACATTCCCCAGGTTTCCATGAACTGAGGGCCCCCAGGAGGCCTGAAGGACATGGTGAGAATCTCACCACCCACACCAGGGCTCCAGGATGAGGTTTTGTGGGGCCTGGCATGTAGGAGTGAGAACGGAAGCTCTGGTGACCCATCTCAGCCTCAGCCACCTCTGCGGACCCACCCTGAACACCCACCCTGCAGACTGCCTCACATGGAGCTGGAATCTGCCTAGCAGACACTGCCCGGCAGGCGACTACCTGGCCACCTGTCCTTCCCCAGAGGCCCTGAGTCCCAAGGAAGGAGGAGGAGGCTGGCACTTCCTCATCCTTAGGGTGTCTGCCCCAGCCCTTGCTTGCTACCCTCGGGTTCCCTAAGTCAAAGCAAAAGGGGTCAGAGGCAGGATGGGCGGCAAAGCGCTTCCCCCTTGACCAGGGAGCCACTCACCTTGAAGTGGATGACCTCAGGCTTGCTGTTGAAGGGCCGGCCCTTGAACTCCCGGCCGGATACTACCTGCTTGTGGATGATCCCGCTGCGCAGCTGCTCCATGGTGCGGGCCAGGATGTCCCGGTCCATCTTGGTCCCGCCCACAGGCTTCTGGTCCACCTCCTCCTTGGGCACCTGGGGGTCACAGAGGCAGAGGCCTATGCCCACTCAAGGCCCAGCACCTGGCCACGTGCAGGGCTAAGCAAAGCAGGGAAGGGCTCAGTACTCTGGGCTCTGTCTGCCACAGGCCCTGGCTTTGTTTTGGGTCACAGGCCAGGCTTTGGAGGAAAAAAAAAAAAAAGGAAAAAGGGCAGAAACAGGAGGACTCAGGCAAGTTTTAGGGAAGTAATGGCAGAGAGGAATGTTCTAGATTGCAGAGTAAGAATAAGGTTTCTGGAAAGTTCTACAGAGAACAATTTCCTCAAGTAGTAATGTCAGTGAAAGTCCAGTCTGGGCCAGATGCACAGCCACCAGGACACCTGAGGCCAGCAACTGGGTCAGCGGCAGTGGAAAACTGCCCCGAGGCTTTCCTTCTGATGACTGTCCCTGCCTGGCCACCAGCTGGCCTTTCCTCTGGTACTTCATGGTGGAGACCTGGTGGTGCCTGGTGCCTGACCGTGTCCACCACATCCTGCTGGGTTTAGAGCAGAACGGCCAGTCCAGCCTTATCCTGTCCTCTGCTTCCAAATGGCTGTGGCTGAGTGGAGGATGGAGCCCCAGCAGGGGAGGACCGGGCTCTGTACAGGGCATGCTTCCAGAAATAGGCTTTCAAAGGAAGTGTGAGCTCATGTCTTTTCCTGACTGTGAGCAGAGTGAGGAGGGACCCTCCCTTTCCCGTCCCACCCTGAGGCCCGAGGCGCAGGACTGGAGCTGAGCAGCCAGGAGAGTAGTGAGCCACACAGGGCCAGCTCCGAGGGCTCTAGGAGGGGCAGTGAGGGAGTGGACAAACAGCAGCAAGGGGGAAGGCAGCTGGGAGGCAGAGGAAGGCCAGCACCTGGTACGGCTTATAGTCCTCGCTCCAGAGCCCAGGGATCTCTGGCTCAGCCAGGACCTCCTCCTGAATGTTGAGGGCTGCAAGGTCCACCTGCACACACTCGGTGGAGAGGGCTTTCGAGAGCCACAAGTGCTTGGGGGGCTCATCCTCAGGCTCCTGCAGGCAAGAGAGCAGCAAGGCATGTTCAGTGTTGGGAAGAGGACAGGCATCTAGATGAGCAGAAGATGAGCAGATGAGCTCCTGGGGCCCTGGCTCAGGACCCTCACAGTTCCACACAGTTCAGGCAGCTCCTCTGAGACAAGGGCACTGTGCCACTTAGAATGTGACATGCTGACGTTTGTACACGACATGCTTTTGCACAACATCATCTACAGGGTGCCTACCATGTTTCCATTAGGGGACACACTGAGTGATGGGCATACTGCATCCCTCCATGGGTGCATGCCAATCACACTCCAGGCCCTGGCAAAGCCCTGTGCCAGCCCTGGGAGGACAGCTGTCACTGGGTCCCTAGGACTGGCTGGGGGCTCGGGCCTCGTCTGACTGCTCTGGCTCTGCTGCTCTGCAGTGGGCACCATAACAGAAAAACAGGCTGAGGCCACAGTGCAGAGACTCAGGGTGACAGCACACTGGACTCAGGGAAGGCCTTCCAGAGAGAGGACAAGGTACATGTGTGGGAGCAAGCAATACTCACTAGAGGAGGGATGTGTGAAGGACCAGGTAGGGGATTGGTAGGGGGATACACAGGCAAAGGCCTCCTCTGACGCCAAGACACCTGGAGGAGCTCACAGATGGCACACACCAGGCAACCCCACACTCTAGGGGGAGGTAGATTAGAGCTGTCACCCCCAGGGGACACTGCCTGCTGGGGCCTTTGGCACAGCACAGCCCTGGTGAGGGATGGAGAGGTGGGCTGGACACAGGGCTGGCTGCGCTCCCCCCTGGGCCCAGGCGAGGGACTTGCAGGGAGCCGGAGCAGAGGCAGCTGTTGGGGCTGTGGAGAGAGGCCTGGTGGGGCACCTGAGCTGTGGCCCGGGGCTCTCGGGTGCTTCCTCCTCCCTCCTGGCCCTTAGGTACAGACCTCATCTGGGTAATGGGAGGTCACGGGCTCTACCCTGGCCTCGCAGATGTTGGAGATGTAGTTCCAGGTCTTGTCTCGCAGAGTCCTGCATTCTGTGGTTCTGGCAGGCCGGTGTTGTTTCTTTTTCCTGTTTTCTTCTTTCACTTCCTCTTTCAAAATCTTGCTGACTATCTCCAGTCTCCGCAGCTTCTGCTCTTCCTCGAAGGTCCTGGGGAAGGAGCCAGGCTCTTCTTAGCACCTGCAGGTTGGACTTCTGGGCGAGGGAGGCAGGGGTGGGGGAGCACCCCTCTTCTCCTATTGCTCAGTGGCTGTGGGGAGGCCTGGGCAGGGGTCAGCTCTCCCCACTGTGAGGATCAAACACTCAGACACTGGCAACCACTGCCCAAGCAGGGACTGTGGGCCTCACCTCTTCTGAGCCTCCAGCTCCTGGAGCCGGTGCTGGTGGATGAGGTGCCTGAAGGCATCTCCGCCCTGTGCTAGGATCAGCTCCTTCTCTGCCTGGGCCTTCTGCTCCGCCAGCTCAGCCCTGGCCTGGCCCCAGGCCTGAAACTTCCGCAGCGTTTCCTGGAAAGGGGACATTGAAGCCACAGCTCCAGCAGCGTCCAGCACATATACACACAGTGTGCGCGTGCAAACACACACACACACACACACACACACACACACACACACACACACAGAGGGCGGCCTGTCCTTAAATCAATGCGACACCTGGGGTCCCAGGTAGACAGATTACAACTGTTCACAACTCTCCAAGTGGAGGCCAGGACCTGGAGTAGGTGTGGGCCCATCCATGAGGCTGGGCAGCCATCCCTCTCCTACGGCACCCTCAGCCCTGACCTTCCATTGTGCCATGTCCTCCTCTGCCTGGCCCTGGCCCTGGCCCTGGAGTGTGTGATGCCCTGAGCCCATACACCTGCCGCCACCCCTGAGCCAAGGCATGAAGCCTGCGGGGCTGCCTGGCCCAACAGAATCAGAGGACAGGCCTGGCTCCAGGAGCAGGGCCCCCAGGGCGGCTGAGGCTAGCACCCACCCGGTTGGCAGTGATGTTGTTCTTCAGGGCCAGCACGGCATCCATGCGCCGCTTCATGTGCTCTCGGGACTCAGTTTCCTCCTTCTGCTCTCGCTCTCGTATCCTGGAGGAAGGTATGCTTTGAATAATGAACGCAGGTTCATTATTGTAATGGCAGTGGGCCATTACAGAGCAGCAGCGGCCTGAGATGCCCACACTCCAACTGAGGGTAAAATGGAGTCACACAGTCCTGGACCAGCTGTAGGGACACGTGGCTGGCCTGTCCTCTCCTCCCCGAGGCCGTGCTGTGTCCACTGACCAGCCCAGGGCCAGCTGTGGGGACGCATGGCTGGCCCACCCTCCCCAGGGCCTCACTGTCTGCAATCCTCTTCCAAAGACAGCAAGTCAGAGCTGAAGCTGCAGACATGTCCGTTTTTGATGACGAGGTGGTAAAGATTTAGAAACGGGGTTTTCAAAACAAAGCGAGGGAGGGCACTCCTAAATTCCTTAGGGGAACCCTAAGAAAGCTTTGAGGGGACGCACCGGCCCAAAGAGGCCTTCAGGAACTTCACTGCCACCTTGTGGTTCCTCTGGGCGTCTTCCAGCAGCTTCTGGTGCTTGAGCCCCAGCTCCCGCTGCAGGTGCATGGACTTCCTGCAGTGACATGGCCGAGACAGAGCCCCCTGGGTACTCAGAGCTGCACTGGGAGCAGCTCCTGTGTCCAGGTCCAGCTCACACATGCCCAGGGCTGAGCCTGGGACTGAGAGACACTGGGCAGATGCTAAAGGAGCTGCTGCTGGAGCTCTGGTGTGGTGTTTGGTCCAGGCTGAGCAGAGATCAGTAAGGAAAGAGGCCAAGGGCAGCGAGGAGTGTGGGTGAGGAGTCTGAGTGTACACAGCCAGGGCCCCAGACCCGCAGGGAGCCGCGCTGGCAATGTGCCGGGTCTGGGGAGGAGGGGGAAGGGTCAGGCAGAGCTGGCCTCTGGCCTGGGCAGCAGATCGTGGTGGGCAGGCATCTGTAGAGGGTGGGAAACGAATGTATAGCACAAGCCAGAAGGGGGAGAGGAGAGAAGTTTGCTCCAGGGATGGGGAGGACCCCCAGGTGGCTGCTGGGTGGCTGAGCAGGGGCAGTACTTGGGACTAAGCCCAAGTACTCCAAGGCTCAGAGCCAGCAGAGGAGCCTGGAAGGAAGAGGGAGTGGGTGGCGGGGAGTGGCTGGCTTGGGGACACTGGCAAGCATGGGCTGTCGGGGGGGGGGGGAGGGAGCCTGGGAAGCCTAGACAGCCCTGGTGCAGAGATGGAGGGACTGGCAGAAGCCAGGCCAGGGCTGGGTGCCACGCACCGGGTCCGCAGCAGCCTGTTTCTCTCTGCCTTCCCCAAGGCCTCCTTCTCCTTGTGGAGCTGCCGGGCTGTGCGCGCCTGTAGACGCCTCCCTTTGGCCTCCGCCTCATCCTGGACGCACTTCCGGGCATCCTCAAACTGCCCCTTCTTGAGCTCAATGTGCCACATGGCGTTCCTGGCAAGCAAGAGGACACTTGCTGTTTCTGGGGACAAAGGGTTCTGGGGCCTGAGGCCAGCAGCCTCCATACCAGGGCCCTGGAAGGCCTGGGCCAAGTGGTGCCAAACACATGGGTGGTCACTGGACACCACCAGCCGTGACAGGTCATCTCCCTCTTCCAAGGTGCCCCTCGGCCCAGCACCACCTGGAGGTGGGGTCCTGCTGCCCGCCTCCAACCACCTTCACCCCCAGTGCCAGCAGCTGGCCAGGACCTGATCCACTGTCTGTGTGCACACAGACAACGAGTCTGAGGCCTTTTGACTTTAATTGTTTTTCAGGTAAGGCCCCTTTTGCCCAGCCTCAGATTGCAATCCTTCTATTCATGTCTCCCACCTTGGTAGGATGAGAGGTTTGAACCACTAGGTCTGGCTTGCTTGCTGAGACAGAATCTCAATGACTTTTTGCCTGGACTGGCCACAGACTGTGATCCTCCTGATCTCTGCCCCCTGAGTAACTGGGATTATAGACATGAACCACTACACTTAGTCCTGAGTCATCTTCAATTGGAAGGAGCTCATATGAGCAGCAACAGGGCTGAGGCTGCAAACAGTCCTTCCTGAAACTCAGGCTTCTCCTCAGTTGTGAGCGTCAGTGGCTTCTAGAAGCTAGCAGGGAGGGCTGCCAACCCCCAGAGCTGACACACTGGTGATGTGCGCACTGACTGCCCGTGCAAAGGTCTCGGCCTAGGGGCTAGTGCAGCCCAGGCACGTGCTGATAACACAGGTCTGGCCTCTGTGCGCTAGATGAGCACCACGGGTGCTCCTGGCCTTCAGAGAGTTAAGCGGAGGGCTCTGCCTGCCTATGCATCAGGTGAACACCCTTGCTTGAGTTAGGAATTTCTCCTCCTCTCCTGCTTTATTAAATGGTGTCAGCCCCTGGCTCTCCCCCTTTGAGAACTGTCATCACAGAGGTCCCTGTGGGGTGCGGCTGAGGCAGGCGGGGTGCAGGTATGCAATGTGTCACCAACAGTTGGGGGAGCAGGGGAGCACCAACTGGCCTGGTGGGAATCCAATCCAGCCCCATCTGCTTCCCGACTCCCCGGGGTCCTAGCTGCATGGGCATAAGCTGGGCCCTGTAACCGCACAAGCCCCCGCCAAGGTGCCAGCGAGGGTCTGGGCTCCACTGAGGGTGGATGAGGGGGCCGGGGGAGAGCTATGTGTGTCAGCCCAGTTGGCTCCAGCAAAGTGGAAAAGCAGCTGAAGAAGGCAGTGGGAAAGGCTAGAGCTCCAGACTAAAGCCTGCGAGAAAAGGAAGGAGCACAAAGGGAAACAGGCCGAGGTGGCCGGCAGAGATGAAGATCTACCATAGACATAGAGACTGAAAACAAGGAGATTGAACCTCTGGTCAAGCGGAAGAGAGAGGAGCCAAGGCAGACCCATTTCACCTGTCTATGGTCACACACTGGCTGGCAGGACCCTTCTTGCTCTGCCTGGATAGAAGTGAGGCAGGAAAACTTAATAATGGGTGTTCTCTCTGCCTCCTTAGTGCTGGGATTACAGGTGTGTGCCACCACACCTGGACTCTCTCTGCCATTTTGCATCACTTCTTTAAGTTTGACATTGTTTCAAACAAAATAGGGCCTGGGCACTGTCCCTGAGTGTCTTTTTGCTCAAGGCTACCACTCTTACCACTTGAGCCATAGCTCCACTTCTGGCCTTTTCTGTGTAGGTGGTACTGAGGAATCAAACCTAGGGCTTCATGTGTGCAAGGCAAGCACTCCACCACTAAGCCACATTCCCAGCCTTTATTTAGTTATTTTTCTTTCTTTCTTTTTTTTTTTTTTTTTGGGTCTGGTCGTGGGGCCTGAACTCTGGGCCTAGGCACTGTCTCTCAGCTCTTCAGCTCAAGGCTAGCGCTCTACCACTTGAGCCACAGTGCCACTTTCGGCTTTTTTCTTTTTGCTTATGTGGTGCTGAGGAATGGAACCCAGGGCCTCAGGCATGCAAGGCAAGCGTTCTACCACTGAGCCAACTTCTCAGCCCCTATTTATTTTTCTTAAAGTAAATGAATGCTCATGGTAGTCAATGCAGACTGGGCCACTGGGGGTCTTGCCAGGCCTGATGCTGGCTGGTGGGGAGGGGAAGTAGTCTGTGCCAGGCAGGTGTCCATCAAGGACACGTAGGCAGGCTGGGTAGGTGGCTCAGTGGTAGAGCACTTGCCTTGCATGCCTGAGGCCCTGGCTTCGATTCCTCAGCACCACATAAGCAAAAAGAAAAAGCCGGAAGTGGCGCTGTGGCTCAAGTGGTAGAGCGTTAGCCTTGAGCTGAAGAGCTGAGGGACAGCGCCCAGGCCCAGAGTTCAGGCCCCA